TAAACTTCTCCCCTGGATAAGAGCTAAAAGATTCTGATGAATTTTATCAGTTACTTTGTGCAGAAGTCCCTAATTAGACCTGCTGTCAGAATACAACTCCTAGATGGCCGGACAGGAGAGGAATGGCAGAAAGTTGTAAGTGAAATTAAATTCTGCAGAAAAGAAACAGCAAGTCATCAAATTCATAGATCTGCTGAACAAAACCAGAGGGCATTCAATTTCAACTGGCTGAAAGAACAAATTTGATCTTAATTACTAAGAAGCTCTTACAAGTTGTGAGGAAGTCACAGCTTAAGGAGGATCAGCCTCCTAACTTCTTGATAAATTAGTTTCTCAAGACTAACCTTTTGGATGTCAAAGAAATACATCACATGCATGGTAGTCAGGAAAATGTCAGTGTTCAAGGGGGTAAGGTAAATGGCTACATAATCACTAAAATGACATCTATGCATGCTTAACAATATGCTAAGTCTGAAAAATAAAGATTTAATTTACATATAAAATTTACAGGAGCAATGCTACATACTGGCAAAAGTATTTAAAGTTGCCATACTGACCTCTTGCCTTAATTCCAGGTTTTCCTTCCCAATATCATATCCAATTTAGGGTATTCCTATAGAAATAGGAATGGATCCACTGCTGCCCACCCAATTCAAATGAAAGCTACCACTCACTCGCTGGGACATCAAGATAGTAATTCTAACATGATGATGTGTAACACTGCAGGCACAGCAAACCTGGCTTCTCCATGGGAGAACATCATGAAGGTGTAGCAACATTGTTAAAGAATTTCTGTGGCTTAACAATGGAAAGAAGTTGATTCTACTCCAGACTCTGTAGTCTGTAAACTATGTCAGCAAACCTGGTTACACAAAAGCCCAAGAATGATATCTGAATTATCAAGAGTATTTTACCTCCATTTTATAAAACTACTATTTTGATTAAATGTGCTTTACTGTAATGAGTTTCACAAAGAGAAAAAAAGTAAAAATGTCAACTGAATACTTCATCAGGGGGTAGTTTAGCAACCTACCCCTCATAAAAATAAAAATCTTCCAGTCTTTTTATATGGTAAATTAGATAAATTTGCTGCTTCCTACTTTCTTGTCATTCATCTGAAAAAGGTTCTCACCATAACAATGATAGCTTCTTCCTGCCACTTAATGTTACTGACATTATACTACCTTTTGGATTTTTCAGGAAGAAGATGAAATAAAAGCCATTTTTTTAGCAGAGGGAATTTTCATTTTCCACATTAATATTACATCATAATCAAATAGTTTCATGAAGTTTTGATCCTAAGTCTGGAAGAACAAAAACATCCTTTAAAAATGCCTCTCCAGAGACACAGCCCAGGAAAAGCTGTCTTCCTATCATGGTACAAGTACTCTGTGTTTCCCTCCTCTCCACAAAGTGTCAATCAAGACTAATGACTTCAACCTCACAGAATTAATAAAGTAGAACTCAGTTGTAGGTTATTAGTAAATTCAAATTTACATAATTTTCAAGCTCCCTGTCTTAGTCACTTTGGGCTGCTATAACAAAGTCCAATATTTATTTCTCACGGCTATGGAGTTTGAAAGTCTGAGATCAGCATGTCAGTATGGTCGCGTTCTGGTGAGGGCACTCTTTCAGGTTTGCAGACTATCATCTCCATGTATCCTAACATGGTGGAGAGCAAGCCTTCTCCAGGGTTCCAGATGGAAGGATACTAATCGAATTTGTGAGGGCTCCACCTTCATGGTCTAATCACCTTCTACAGGGTCTACCTCCAAACAGCACCACATTGGGATTAGGGGTACAACATACGATATTCAGGGAGACATAAATATTTGCTCTACTTCATTGCCCTCTGAAGAAATCTTAAAGTCACACGCAAGTGGCTTTCTGTCTAACACTAGGCACAGGAAAACACTCCCCCCAAGCTCTGGGTCTCTGAGGAGTTACAGCATCTAAGCCTCAGTCTGTTCAACTGCAAAATGTGGAGATCAACATTTCAGAGGAGCTGAATTTCAGTATCTCACAAAAGAGAAACAGAGTGACACAACAGAAAGAGCATTGGCCTTGAAGTTAAGAGGTTACAAAGAAGTTACGTAAAAGATAGGGGTAGGCTTAGACCCTGTAGGCTCAGAACCCTGAGGCATTACCAAGGTACTGCAAGAGGCCTAGCATGGTCCACAGCTGAATAAATACCACGTCTAGCACAGAACATTTTTCAAACACCACAAATGCTATCTGATTAATGAAGATTTGATAAATGTCAAGTCTTAATGATATGAAGCAGTTTCTCACTCAAAAGATACTGAAAGATTTTTGGTGTTTAACAAAAGGTCCTATTTATTCAAGAGTTAAGAATCATTGGCCTAGAACTCCAGTGACCTCTAAAGCTTCTTTATAGGGCTTAATGCATAACTTATGACTCTGTTTTTTCTGATACAGCAGCTCAGTCACCATTAATGTAGGTGAAGAAAAAAAGGTACACCAACCCAATTTCAGATATTGTCATCTTATTTTTAAAAAATAATTTTTAAAATCATGAAATAGAAACAAAAGAAGGCATTTGCATTTTAGCCAATCATCAACAATCATTTTTATTACATCCCAGGCAATCCAAACATCTCTCTGTGGCTTGAAAATCCTTGAAAAGACAGGGACGGTGTAGTGTACACAGTCATTGTTACTTAGATGTAAAGCCCATCTTTACATGTATTATGATGGTAGTAATACTAACTGCCCTTTAAAAACTATTTAATACCTTCTAAAATTTTTACAGTGCATCAGATTACAAGCTTACTCATGAAAGAAAACTGTCTACAATCTAACATAGCTACTTATAAAATGAATAATTGGTGAGAGTAAAGAGCTTTGAAAACCAGAAGTATCATATGAATGATAAAAAATAATGCAGACCACCAGTGCCCAGAAACTCAGCAGCTATTCAATAAAAAACAATCACTGGGGCCAGGGATTTAGCTCAGTGGCGTTGCTCCTGCCTAGCAAGAGCAAGGTCCTGAGTTCAATGCCCGGTTCAAAAAACAAAACACAAAAAGAAAAAAAAAAAACAGTGAAGTTGGATAAATGCCTCTGTGGTTTTGTTGTTGTTTTAATTCCTCTAGAAAGTAGCTCTGAAAGGTACTCTCCTCATTTTGGACAAAAGGCAATGTCTCATCAGAAATCCAGTTACTGGAGAGGTTACAGAGCCCGGAACAGGGAGAGTATAGCAAATGTAATGCAAAGTCCTTGGCTTCTGCTGCAATTCTGCCTGAGGCTCACTGTGACTGAAGAAGGCACAGGTCACTCAGGGAGAGCTGCTCTGCTCAGTGACCACTGAGACTCCTTCTACAGTGGTCCATCCATTGACATCTTTTGCATCCATCCTGTGTAGGACAGACTGACATCTCCTAAGAATTCATCCATATCACACTCAGCACAAGGACCAATATTTCACTTTCCTGACTCAGTGAATCATACACTTCAATGCAGATCTTTAATGTATCGACCCTTCTGCTTTCACTATTTTTATATGGGATACTGAAGTACACTGTGAAAAATTATTTTTGCATAGACTTCAAAACAACTAATCATTCTTTTCTTTCTTGCCATGAGAAAATTATAGAATCAAAATCTGGATGCCAAAGTTTCTGAAATATATCAGTGTATTTTGCACGTAACTCACTACCACCAGCTATAAAGCTAGAGCTGAGAGGACAGTTTTACATCTTCCCAATTTTGATCCTGCTCTTCCTACTCCTATCAAGGTAAAGATAAATTGACTATCCAACTATTAAATCCCCTTAATCGCCAAACTATCCTTTGTACTGCAAACACCCTGAGTGCTGCCTAATTGTCCCTACTGTCATTCCTCAATTCTTTCTCTACTGCTACACACTTTTTTCTTTTTCCTCTCAAATATGGAAGATCTGCCCCTAAGCAGTTTAAAAATAAACTTATAGGGCTTATTTAACTTGATTAAGGCTCAAGAACTTTAGTGAAAATGCATAAATTAGACTAAACGTAGGCTTGGAGTTTTTCATGAGAAAAATCCAGAGGAAAAACCTACCAGGAAAGAGTCAACAAAGAAAGGTCTTACATCATGCCTTGAACTTGGTCTCCTGAAGGCACACTCTTTTTCGTTTGAATGGCCTTCATCCTTACCTCCAACAGAGACACTGTTCTTTCGCAGACAAATACAGGGCCCAACATTATGAAAAATTACCAACTAACATATGCAATCCATTTTGTCCCTTTCATAGCATTAATCGAATATTCTTTAGGGAGTAAAAGGAAAAGATTTCTCTCTCACGGATAATCTCTGAACACATCCTCCCACAAATTCCAAAACTTATTTTTTCCTAATTTTGAGGTGAAAATCCAGAGAGCTGAGCCAGAGGGTTTTCCTTTCCATACTTCAAGCTTGTGGTCTGACCACAGACTACATGGGATTGCAGAAGCCCCGGCAAGCTTAACAGAAGAAGCTACTGCATCACCCTTCTCACGATGGATGCTCACAGTTTGATTCCTGCTTCCCAGACAAGAGCTTGAACCAGAGATCTCATCAGGCAAGGGGCTGAATGAAGCCTGCTTCTCATGACAGCCAAGCTCAAGCAGCACTTAGTAAGCTGACCCTGCTTCCCAGGAGTAAAGAAACCATCTACAGAGGCACTACACACAACCCTCAGCTCTCTCTGCAAAGGGCTGCGGTGTGCACCCAGGTCTGGTGTTGCACAGGCCAGCTGGCTGCCAATGAAGCATACCGGGCCCACAACAGGCACCAGAGCCCAGGACGTCAGGGCCCAGCTGTGTGACCACCACCACACTCCCACCAGCAGCTCCTATGGAACTTATAGAGACAGGGATAGCAAATGGAGATAGTTCAATAGGACCTTTTCTCTTTATAGCTGTTGATGACTGAAAAGACAAGACGGTACCTTCCCACCAACTTTTTAAATGAAGCACCCCTGCGGCCATGTCACTAAGCGGTGTGGAATAAAGAGCCTTACCATAAGGATATTTGGTGTCCAGCTTATTTTCTGCTGTCCTCCTCCAAGGCAACAGGTCATCGCTGCACCCATTCGGCATTCCATTGTACCCAATTCCAACAATCTTGTTTTCTGCATTCACAATGCAGGCTCCAACCTACAGGGAAATGGGCCCAAGGCTTGGTGACTACAAATGGCTGATTTACCACTGGGGAGCACTGAAGAGAACCAAAGCCTCTTATAGGAACAGGTACGCATGCAGGAATACAGCACATAAAGCAGCAGACAGACTATGCACTTTTAAGTTGACAGCTGTTTCATAATTTCCTTAATTCGTGAGTTTCTCTTTCCAAGAATCCATTCTCCTATGAAATCCATTTACCTGGGAATTTGGATCTTTGCTTCTCTGAGCTGATAAGAAGGCCACTGCCATGAAATACTCAGGCCATTCCAAATAGTCATCCCGTTTCTTGCAGGAAACTTCACTCACATTAGGTCTAGAAGAAAAACATGACAAAATGTTGAGAAAAGCATTTTGGTAAATCTGCTTTCCAAGTCAGTGCACTACACTGAACTCTGGTCTCTGAACAGTCAACTTCAGCTACATTTATCAATCAGAAATCACAAAACTTTGATGCTAGACAGTCTCTGGTGTTAAGTAAAACATTAAAGATATTTATTATTTCAGAAGTTTTGCTTTTGGCACCTATAGCTTCACAGTGATAGTTCATCTATTTACTAACAGGATGTTTCTTTGAATTACAACATATGGCTAGTCTACACATTTTTCTTTCCTTCAACCCTAATAAATAGAGGAGTCAGCACAGGAGGGGAGAAGAAACATTTACTGATCATCTAATAGATTCTGGACACTGTTTTAAGGTTTTACACATCTCCCTCAAGCTTCATTCTAAGAGAAGCAGTAACATCTGACCTTACAGTTACAGAATTTAGGGAATGGAATTTGCCCTAAGCCACACAGGAGAGTATTATCCATGCCAGTTGGACCGTGAAGATAACATCTTGAAGTTGTGACACTAATCAGGTAATTTGTTCCTTCTTTCCCCCTTAAATTCCCCAGTCAAAAGTGTCAACACTGAAGACAGAATCAAAGGAGAAACAACGACAAGTGCTAGTACTAAAGCCAGGTTTCTGTAACTTGGGTTTTACTCCAGGCAGGTGCAGGAGGTCTCTACAACAGGGAGAGCCCATGAACAGGGGCTATTCACCCTTTCAAAAGGAATAAAAGTAGGGTAATAAAGAAAGGAGAACAACACAAGATCACTCAATTTCTCAGCTCAATGAGAAATGCTGAGAAAGCCTAGGTTCTGGTTTAAAGAAAGGTGAGGATTCCCAAACCCCCACCTCAGGGTCTAGACTTCAACCTGATGGTACAGTGCAGTGCATAAGTGCCCAAGACTAGAATGCAGTGAACAGGTCGGAACCATGGTTACCAACTCATTCCTTCGCCCAAATTTTGAGAAGTCTGCAAACTCAACAGGATGAGAGAGGATGCTGGACGCGCCTGTTTTCCCGCCTGGTTTAAAGGCTCCTACCCAAAGAAAACTAAAAAATAAAAAAAAAATAAAGGCTCCTATCCATAAGGGCTGTAGGGTGCCTGATAAGTACTCCCTTCTAACTGGAGGGCGAAAGAGGGGAGAGGGGTGGGGGGAGGGGAGTTAAAGTAGGGAAAAAATAGTTTTCCACCTGACGCTCGACCCAGGGGTGGTTAACGCTCACTGGAGCCCGCGGAGGACCCAGGCGGGCATTGAGGCTAGGATACAACTAGCTCAGGAAGAAACAGCGCGGAACGAGCAGAACCCACGCTCCTCGCAACTCCCCTCAACTCTGATCGAAGGACTAGAGCTGCATTCCCACCCAACGCGTGGGTACCAGGAAGGACTATTTTCACACTTCCAGAACCGCGTCCCTCCACCATCGCCGAGGAGAATGCCTGGAAGGCCGCGGCGCACACCGTTGAGATTAACCCCGGCGCAGCCCAGTGGAAACCGAGTCGTCGCCCCCGCCCCTGCTTGCCCTTCGGCGGGTTTCACGAGGAAGTGGGAGGTGCTTACTCAGGGCCTGTCGCGCCCGAGTCCCCCCCGCGCCCCCGGGAGCCGGCACTCCACATCCTAGTCGGCGCCACGTGGCGCGCCGGCCGCGTACCCGTTCAGCTGGCCCCCGCCCATCCTCTGGTGCTGCGTCCGCGGGCCTGCAGGCCGGTGCTCGTCCCCACTGCCGCCGCCGCCGCCGCCGCCGCTGCTGCGCGCCCGGGCAAAGGACTTTGGGAGAGGGGCGGGGCGCCCGCTAGGCGGGGAGGTGGCCGGGCCGGCGGGGCGGGCGCGCGCGCGCGCGCGACCCTGCTGCTGAGTCCCGGCTGTGGGCCCCCTGCGCGCGATCTGCGGTCGGCCTGGCCAGTGTTAGGGCCGCAGGGCTGACTGCTCTCGGGGTGGCTGGGCCCCTTTGTTATGGTTCCCGGTTTAGGGTCTGCCCCTGACTTTTTGCGCTGCTGACAGGGCGTTCGCCATGAAACCGCCCGGATGTTGGGACCTGCCCGCCTAAGCGGCGCTCCGGACCCCGCAGGGGTGGAAGTGGGGGACCGCTCTGCGACCGCCTCCCCATCGCCTGGTTTAAGACTGGGTTGTTTTTGTTGGTAAGGGTGATTTTTTTTTACACCCTTCCCCGATCTATCATTAACTTCTTTATTATAAATATGTAGTGTGTGTGTGACTAAAAGACGACCCAAAGAATCTAGTGCAGTGAAACTGAACTGCACAGGAAGTGAAGGGACCTGGAATGAGCCTGCTGTGTGGCAGTGTCATGTGGGGGACAGTTGGCCGGTGCTGGCCTCACAGTTTCATATTAGAAGTATTCGTTTGAGGGCCCTAGGCCTAGAGGCACAAATACCTCGAAGCTGAATTTGCATTTGGGTTTTGCCTGACCCGCTTTTAGAGTCTACCCAAATTGTGTGGCAAGGCCTCAGGTGTTTGCTAAAGCTTGCCACCCTTTGTCACTTCGCACACACATTCCGCTTGATTTTCCCCTGGTAGTTTTCCCGCTAAAATTGTACAGGTTTCTTCAGTTTATTGTTTTTTTTTTAATTAGGAAAACAAGGCACGGGATGAATCAGAAAGACCATCAGTGACCTGTCTGAGGTCATATGCCTCAAGGAGCTAAATCTTATTTTTCTTGAGCTTCATTTACACTATCCAGACATTTGACACCCCGCCCCCCCAGTCTGGCACAACATTGGTTCCAGCACAAAGAATGGCAAAAGAACCCCTTCCTGTTTTTTTTACACATAGGGCTTGAGGATACTTCCAGCACTCCATAAATAACAGCTACTGTAATAATCATGGGTTCTGATCAGCACAGCTCAGATCTGAACTGCTAATGCAAACAAAAGCTTGTTAACTGTATTAATTTACCCCAACAGAGGAAGAATGATGAGAATAAACAGTTGGTTCTATCTAATTCCTCACTACAGCAGACACATCATTCTTCATTTCCGTGGTCCAGCCCGTAGATTCAATAATTAAATTATGTACTCCTCAGTAGATGCCGGGAAAGCAAAAAGGAAAAATACTTCACTGTTAACTATAGATCTCTCTATTTTTTTCCTTGATAAAATTCAGGCTTGAAAGAGCTACATCGATTAAGATGATGATTTTCAATGTCAAATTGACTTGATTTGACTGTTTTGTTGCCATTAAAATGCATTACATTTTGTGCCCCTGCCCTTCCCCTCCACACTTCTTTTTTGTCACACTCATCTATAGTCTTTGGGTCTTCAAAGATCCATTTCTCTTCTTACCAACCTACAACCCAATACATCACCAATTGCTGCTGGTCCTTCAGCCACAACATCATTAAGCTTTCCTCCTTCCTCTGCTCCATAAAGTCTGTCATACATAATTTAGTTACTTCTCATCATTCTCCATTTTGGTCAACTCACTCCCCTCTGCAATAAATTCAAGATCCTGTTTGCTGCAAACACATTACCCTGAATGTTCATATGTTTCACTGGAAGTCCCTCATCTTAAAGATGACATTATTCACAATACAAGAAACCCTCCTGATTCATGGTTTCACAACTTGAGGTTTCAAATGTTCTTCACTAACAGTGAAACCAGGCAGCCAAGGGGGAAAAATACATTCCTTGGTATAGCTTGCTCATTAACACCTTGTAACTCTGAGTGTGGCTGTAGGTGTTAAATCTTTCTTGCTAATACCTTTTATTTTGGTGTATAATTGAGGATCTTTCTTCACCTACCACAGACACAGAGATTTGCTATGCTTTCAGCCATCTCTAGCAAGGGGAGGCTATTTCACATAGGTTGAACACCATGTTCTTAAGGACTGTTGTCACAGGCTTTGGCTTTGCACCTTTGTTAACAGGACTATGCTTATCTATGTCTCATCTATTGCATAATTTAGAATATAGTTCAGTATCTTGGAAGTGTGGGACTCAGATTTTAAAAGGTAGAACTGGAGATAAAATTCTTGGACAACCTTGGAAGGGGCTTTGATGGTCAATGGATATCTGCCCTCTCAAGATACCACCTACCACTTCTCCTGCCTTCTCATTTGGCAGAGAAGGGATGTGATGTTACAGGGAAAACAGAGTCAGGAAGTCTGGGAAGGAGCCAAACTGCATCAGGTTTGTTGTGGGAAAAAAGGACACAGCTTTGGAGTCAGGCCAAACTTTGAATTCTAACCCCTCTGTTCTTACTACCTATGTGACCTTCAAAAAGTATTTACATGCTAGGAGCTGTAAAATCAACAACATTCATTCAGTCATTTTTTTATTCTCTGTGGTGTGCTAGTGCTGCAAATACCACAATAAACAAAATATACCAGTTCTTACCCCTCCCCAATAAAGGCAGAATAAATGAACCTCATTGCTGCCCCAGTCAACATAATAAATGTTGAAATATCTTTAGTTTTAATTTGTCATCATTATAAACTTATTTTTATAGCTTAAGAGTTGTATGTAGAAGGAAATATCCCTTTTACTATTTTTCAAATGAATAGTTATGTTTCCATGCTACAGTCCAAACTGGGGGGAATTGTTTAAACCTTAAGTAAGGGCAGATTTTATTGTCTGCTAAAACTAAAAAAAAAAAGTTCATGAAAATTCTAAGAAAAAAATTAAATGTGTGGTCTTATCAACATATACTGTTAGAACATGAGGTCATTTGTTTGTGTTCAGTTAAATGCATACAGACTGCAAATTGACATGATAGAATAAAAAAAAATCAGGATTCCTAGATAGAGGACAGAAAAAAAAAATCAAGATTCCTAAATAGAGTTTTTGTTATGAGTTGAAGCTGCCAGTTATCTTTATTATTCCATATCTTCAAAATTATAATGAAAGTCAAAGAGGAAATATTAACTTGGCATTATGGTGCTTTGCTAGGTACTTTGCTATTATATATGAGTAAATATTTGTTGAGTAAATAAATTAATAAAAAATAATTGCTTCATGCTGAATTGTTTGGAGCATCCAAAAAATAAAGAGAAGTCTTTGTAAACTCTGGTTATACCTCTATGCAGTGTCTGCCTCCTTTTTCTGAGTTTAACAAACCTGGAGAGAAAATTGATAGATGAGACATTGGGACTGGTGGGTCAGGGAACTAAGGGAAAACAGTTGTTTTCAAGAGGAAAGGATCTAACTTCAGATTCTGGTCTTGACCCTAAATGACCATCGATGGTACCGGAACTGAAGGCGGCTGTGAGAGCTGACTGCCTTTTTTTAATATGTCGGTTCTCTCCCATGACTTGCTTCTCCTCTGCAGAGCTGAATGTGTAGCCTCTTTCATACACAACTGGTTGAAGTTGATGGAAATTACATGTCTTATCACTTCTTAAAAGAAAAAAAAATACATAAAATGTAAATCTAAAAGAAATGGGCAATTTTCTTGTACCACTCTGTATTTCTGTGTAAGTTACCAAGTGCCAATCATTCCTGCTTTTTAAAATTCAAATTTGTCAAGCAGCATGTAAGCTTTCAGTGTTGTACAAGAAAAGATAATGCTTCATGTGGAACAGTCACTTATGCCAGTTCTGTGAAGGTGCCTACCTAAAGAGAATTTATCAGATTGCTGGTTTTATAGAAATATTAACAATCTCATTAAATTACACCTTCTACTCTGGGGTCACCATGGCATCTCCTGAAGGGAGTCAACAAAGTATTATGGTTCTGGATATAGAATTCTTTATTGACGTCGGAGTCACCATGTATATTTTAACTGGTGTAACGAGGCAAATGTCTAAGAATCCTTGTGAATGAAAGCCCCTGTTAAATTTTATTTGGAAGTTAATGGCTAGCATAACTTGCTTGACATGCTGTGCCTTTCCTTAGCTAACTGGAAAGCTCACTGGGGGGGTGGACTTCTAAAATGAGAGGACAAGAGTCAAAATAATATTTTAGTGTTGCAGGTCACGAAGGATGTGTATATTGAGAGTAACATCCGTGGTACTGCCATAAAAACAACAATCTGTTATTAGTGCCATGAGGTAAAAGGTGTCTTCTACAGACCTGAACAAACAAAATAAGGAAGAAAGCCTAACCTGTTTGAATAACAATTGACATTGTTCAGTATAAGAAAACCTAAACTGTGGTAGAGGAGGTAAAGGAGAAGGCCTGGTCCCATCTTTGACCACCTCTGTGTGCTGCAGTGTTTGATAGACAGCTCTAAAATGACAAGAGGGAAAAGCTGTCAGCCAGGAAGCATTTTAAGACATTTGTGATCCTAGTAATGCTACCTTCAAATTAGCCCTGGATTGAGTTAAATATCAACGGAAGGGAGTGGAGCGGCACTGGTGGAATCATCCCTATGAAAAGGAGAGAGATTTAATAGCATGGTGGTTACAATAACCACTGTCCTACAAGAAAAATCAATATCTACACAGTGTTAGAATCACACCAAGGGCTCCTGGAGCTGAGCCATTTCAGTGAAGAATAAACTCAGATTCATTAGAGTAGAAAGTCAGAATGTGGTAGGAGGTCAAACATAAATACACCCTGGGCTCTTTTGTCAGGAAACCCAAGATGTTCTCCTTTCAGGATCCGAGCATTTTTGAAAAGCATAGAATTTACAGAGCTGGAAGTGACCTTAGCCATCACTGAGTCCAGCCCCTTCTTTTTACAGATGAGGAAATAGTGGCCCAGAAAGATTACTTGGCTTACTCTTGTTCACACAGCCAATCTAGGAAGACTTCTTCCATGCCACAGTGCTCATAAGCCTTAGGATCTATGAATCAAACCACAACTGTTTATTGTGAGTCTCTCTAGAAGGCACTCTGGGAAACCTT